CATTCGCCTGAAGCTCAGCAAAAGTCTGATATGATGAGTTCGATACGAACTCCCGGATGTCTCTCCTCAGCACTCCCAAATACCGGCTCATCCGAGCCTGCTCCGTGGACACCTGCTCGGGGCAGAACATCGCCCTCTCATGAAACTTCCGCGTGATCACTGCAACCGAATCATTACCCTGCTTGAGGGTCAAGAACTCCTGAACCAACCGTTCCCTCTCCGGGGGGAACATACTCGTCTCTGAACATAGCAGTAAATCTCTCCCAAGTCAAGGCTGAAACCTCCGCGAGAGTGAAGTTCGCCGTCACGAACTTCCACCAATCCTTTGCTCCCAGGCGGAGCTGGTTCAGGGCGAACCGCACCCTCAGATGCTCCGGACATGAACAAGTATAGAAGCATCCCTCAATATCGGCAATCCACCTCATCGCAGCAATCGGATCCTGAGTCCCGTCAAACTCTGGTGGCTTCGTGTTGCTGAACTCCCGGAACAGCAACGAGTCACCCCCTGTGGTCTGGCAGCAGCCACAGCTGCGGTAGCTGCAGCAGCGGCAGCCTCAGACAACGCGGCGTACCGCTCATCAAATGTCTCCATCAGCGTGGTCTTAATAGACCCAAACATCTCCGGGATCTCGGCCCGGATCGCTGCAGCTACCTCCTCATGAATCATCTGACGAAGCTCCTTGTCAGTCACCCCACTCGTGCCAGGTCTGTGTCGTGGTCCAACCATGATGTCTCTGAAATACAACAAAAGAATATCAGAGACCCTATCGGGCAAAATCGCACTCGATAACGTAGTCCTGCTCAGTTTTCGATACTCAGGGGTTCCCACTTGGCTGCCTACTGACCCGGTGTCCTTGGTAGTACGGGCCCAATACTGCCAGTTACACCGCGTCGGTATTCACCCAAGTCATCCTCCCCAACCTCGAATCCTGAGCACTCTATTCTTTTCATACTCTTGTTACTCACTCGCTCTCGAGCACCTCATAGAAGCAAGTTTTCCTAGACTAAGGCATCACAAAATCAGGCCACTCTAGTCCTAATATGTATACCTAGTCTACTAGCATGCATATCATATCATATCACATATCGTAACACATATAATAAGAGTATTTTGGGGATTTTTACCGTTCGGGCGCTGGCTGACCGTACACACTTTTTCTTCTTTGGTCGTCTCACTTATCAAAAATTTAAATTTTAATTAATTAAATTAAATTTTATTGTAAAATTTTTTTTTTCTCCAATCCCCGGTTTGAGTCCAGTTACGCCCGAAGGTGTACCCGAATCCCTCAAACCAAGGCTCTGATACCAACTTGTAACGTCATAAAATTTCCAACCAAAAATTTTCATTTTTACAACCATCAAGACATGAGTAAATAGTTTAGATTCCCAAAATAACAACGTAGTCTCAAACGATTACATAACAAAAGATAAAATAGTTTCCCCGAGTGTGTGTACGGTCACGCTGGCGCCTTCCCACGGTCCTCACTCGTACCTGAAACACATAAAGCAACAATTGTAAGCATAAAGCTTAGTGAGTTCCCAAAATACAACATACGCACATACGCCTTTCCAGGCCTTGACCTTCCGGTCCATGTGTCTCAGGGGACTTCCGTCCCGACTGGGTAAACCTTCCGGTCCTACCCACGTCAACCCTTACAGTCCATATGACCACGCCTTCCGGCCCATATCAAACATATCATACATGACACATATAGCAAATAACTTAACACACATAAGGCATATATTTCATATCATATTCGACCTTCCGGTCACACAGTCAAAACCCTTCCGGGTACAGTATAGTGAGAAGACTCACCTCGTATGCCTCGCTAAGTTGCTAATCGTGAATCCTGGAATCACTCGGGCTCGAACCCTCGAGCTGCAATCCTCCTATGATATTATAAATCTATAAATATTACTTGTACCACTAAGGTGGACCATCCAAATCAAGTCAACACAGGTTGACCTGGTCAACAGTCTTTAGTCAATTTGGACTAGACTCGGCGAGTGCACAATAGTGACTCGGCGAGTCTACGCGTTTTTACCAACTCTCAAGAATTTTCCCTTTGACTCGTCGAGTACTCCCCGACTCGACGAGTTCCACCTGGGCCTGAATCACAGGGCCACCGCGACTCAACTCGCCGAGTCGAAGGTCAACTCGGCGAGTCCCATCCTGACTCGGTCCACCTGTCAAAACCTTTCCAACTCTCTGCGACTCACTGAGTCGCCCACAACTCGGTCCAGTCTACACACAGGATGGTCTCAAGGACAATCTTCAAGCGACTCGTCGAGTCTGTTCTTCAGACTCGGCGAGTCCATGCCATGCACCAGCTAAAACTGGCTTTTGCGGTCAGATCCGTTCCATACATACATAGATCTGGCCTTCCCAAGCTTATTTGTCACGTAAAGTCTCAGTCTTGGTTGCCATGCAATGCATACAAGGCTTTTTGAAGAAACAACCACTTATTGGCAAGTTTAGCTTCTAACTCAAAAGAATGGACATAAAGCTTGTCATGAGGGGTCTCCTGGACCTGCTTAAGTCCAGATCTAGGTTCCATGTCTCCATGGACCTCTCATACTTCTTATTCAAGCCAAGAAATGCAAGAAGAAACCCTAGATTTGGCCCATCAACACAAAACACGAAGATTGGCTCAGAAAGTTACCTCAAGAAGACCCCCTTGATGAAATAGCAACAGATCTAAGCTCCCCAACACTTCAAGCTTGCTCCTCTCCCTCCTTTCCTTGCACTATCACACAAAATGATGAACAAAAGGCCTTCAAACACACACACAAGGGCTTACAGACGTATGGAGACTCTTAGGGTTCAAGGTGGCCGCATATGAGGGCCATAAGGTCCTTTAAATAGGGCTTAGGACCGGGAAATTAGGGTTTCATTAAACAGTGCGGACTCGTCGAGTCCATCCCTTGGACTCGCCGAGTCCGGACGCGAACCCCCGCTAAAAACCGCGACCCGACTCGGCGAGTTCAACCACCAACTCGCCGAGTCCCCTCACAGAATGTCAAAAATATATAAGAAATGAAGATACCTGGGGATCCGGGCTGTTACAAATCTCCCCCACTAGAATAAGACTTCGCCCTCGAAGTCCCACTTAGGCAAAAAGCTCTGGATGCTGCTCCCGCATCTCCCGTTCCGGCTCCCAGGTCATCTCTGATCCCTTCCGATGCTGCCACTGTTCATGAAGATTTCCCAGGTCAGCTCTGATCGCCGAGTTCTATGAAGATTTCCTTGGACTCGCCGAGTCCGTTCATGCACTCGTTGAGTACCATGAACTCCCAGGACAATTTGCTTAGTCCAGAATGTTGGGTCACCCCCCTTGGGACCCCCTTAAAACCTTTCCACCTCAACTGGGTCCTTATGACCCTCAACTGATATGGGACAGAACTTTGGACTCGCCGATTTAGTCACAACCACTGACTGAATCTTCGCTTTCTGATGTACAACACTTGATCAAAATATAGATCTATGCTTCTACAATCGATCTAGCACGTAAAGTTACAACCTTTACGTGCTTGCATGGGACTTTAAGCTCAAAAGGTCCTAAAACAAACTCTCACAATGCATGGGGCCTTTCTTGAGTGCAAAAGCCACTCCTTTCTGCCTTGTAACCCCTCTAAGGACCTAGATCCGAAACATCAACCTCAAACCATGCTTGCAATCTTGGTTGGTGACCAAAATGGCTTAGAAAAGCCCTAAAACTTCACAAAATGGGATCTATCAAAAGAGCAAACAAGGTATAGACTTTATACCTTATGAAGTCAGCAAATGATGCTTAAAACTGAATCCTTCTAGCCTCCTCTCGATCCTTCAAGCTTTTCCTTCCTTCCTTGTATCACAAAAGAACCACAATCACTCCAAATGCCTTAGATTGCTTCAATAGCGGCTAGGGTTTGCTATGGGAGTCTTCTGGGAGCAAATGGGACTAAGGAGGCCGAGTTAAGTTATTTAAATAGGGTGTAAACCCTCAGATTAGGGTTTTTTCCCAAATAGGGTCTACTCGCCGAGTCCACAACTTAAACTTCGCGCCTCATCCCGCTTCTACTCGGCAAGTTGATCCTTAAACTCGCCGAGTCCAAGGCCAATTTGCAAAAATATAAAAGATTTAATAAAAAGAACACGCACCAAGAACCAGGTGCTACACAATTGCTTTTGATTTTAAAGCCCTCTTAATTCCTTCAAGATTTCCATATTCACATCAGGTCAGTGTTTTGAAATTAGATTACATGGGTTTCTGTATGGATGTTGAAATTTATTAGTCAACGGATTTTGTTGATTTCAATTCATGGAACCCATCTGCAACTAAATGTTGTAATGGAATTGAATTCAAATTCCAACCAAACTAAAGAAAAACATCGATAAAAAAGCATCTTGACTAAGAAAAAACAAGAAAATATTATGTACCTCCAGAACCAATATATTTGTGGATCTATATCTTTATATCCATTATATTATGTATGTGCCTTCCAATCATCAACAGAGACATCACTTTCACTACCATGTAACATTTCATCAAGATCTTCAAGCTCTAAGCTTTTAAAACAATGCTTTTTATTCTCTTCATCTGTAACAATATCTGCAAATCCTCAACCAAAATGTTTTACATGTTGTGAAATAGATGACACAAACCATAAATTAATCAAAATATCAATTACCTTTCAACAGACATTCATTCCTGCTAACTATAAGAAGAATGCTCGATCAAATACACCTTAGATGGTGCAAACAAGAAACAATTACCTTAATACCCCTGTTGTAAAAGATTGAGATGGAAAACATGAAGCTACAGAGGGTTATAAGTTATATAACCTGGATTTGGGAAGAATCTTATTCGATCATTTGGGCAAGGAACGAAAAGGGCATTTTGGGGGTTAATGATAGCTTGACAAACCAAGAAAAAACTGGATTTGACAGACTATATGCAAACTCCTCTTTCGCCTTTACGTAGCCTTCAGATGACGGAAACTAAATCATCAACGACTTGCTAAGCATGCGGATGTCCCGTGCTTCGCATTTGACCAACCAAATGCAAGCCGAAGTCGTATGTGATGCCACACTGAGACAAGGTTTGCTCCCAGTGAAGTTGCTTCCCGCCATAAAATAAAGTTTGCTCCATTATGGGAATTCCAGTGGCGGATTGAATATTTTTGTCGATCGACATGATTTTATCTTTAGGGTTTCCATGGAGAACTAGGATTTTACCCCCTGAGATCATCCGAACAAAGAATTGGGTGAAATTTGGGAAAGAACAAATGGAACTGGAAGAAACCCTAGGTTGGAAATGAGGATGATGAGTGGTGATTTTCACAGGGAAGGAATTAAGGGCGGCAGTGGAAGAAGGAGAGTCGGGGTTAGGATCGTGTTTTTTCATCCTGACGGAGACTATGTCGCAGGAGGAGCGGTATTCTTGGATGAAATCTTCCAACTTTCGTTTGATGCGTTGTTGAACGCAATCGATTGTGGGGAAATCAAGGAGAGTCATTGAGGGTTAACCGGCAATGAGCGTCTACGGCCGGTTGGAGTCCATTGAAACAAAAACCCAATTACAAAATGGTGTGAAACCAAGTGGTTTTTAGGCTTTTTGGTCGGAAGAGACACACAGAGAGAGAAATATAGAGAGACAGAGTGATGAAGAAAACGTCGGGAGAGAGAGTCGGTGGGGAGAGTATTGCAATTTCTTCACCCGATTTCTTTGTGCAAATAAAAGACACGTGACGAGTGAGAGTGTGTGTGGGTATCGAGTATTATTTGGATCCAACTCCAACCCATATTATACTTTGTAGTTGAAAATTGAAATACATTTTGCTTGATTTTGTAATCATAACTTTTTGTTGTTGAATCACAACATACATATTTATAACGCCTTAAATAACCCATATCCTAATCCTAATAAATAATAAATTTCATAAATAAATAAATAAATCAGTATAAAATTGCCACCTGACAATTGCTCAGCCCCTCTTCAAGCTTTTTTTCCCGCTCAAAATGTCTAACTGAAATACCAAAACTGCCCTTATGTTACTAATAAACTCTATAGTTATTAAATACAACCTATTCAATTGACTTATTTTTAATAAATCAATAATACATTAATAAACTAATTTTTAATTTATATGTACATTTTAATAAACCATTTCAAAAAAAAATGACACAATTAAATTGTATTGTTTTTCCTACTACTTAAAAAAGAATACTTAAAAATGACTACAAATCGACTTTATACCCATTTGTTCGCTAGATAATTATTATATGAACTACTTAATTGTTCTCTGTAACGCCCCGTTCTAAGAGTAATTATTTCTGGATCCCCGAGACCAAGAGTAAAGGCGCTTCGGTCTTTTATGGGCAATGAGTTTTATTCAGGAAGGTTTCGGGTCAAGGTGTGTTGCCAGAAGCATAGGGCTTCTCGCCACCTTTTTGTGGATATAAAGTCCGTCGGAAACAGACTTAGAAAAAAGGAGTTATGACACTTTGAAGATAGTGTCAATAATGGTCCCTAAAGGAAATATTTGGCGAAGGGGTCCTAGGCATGCATGGATTGCATGCGTGTAATTGTCTGGGTACGCCCAACGTAAGCTAGGTTATGCCCAGCGTAGAGTGGTTAAATGAAAGCGGGTGTTGGGGGCGTACGCCCAGCGTACAGGATGTATGCCCAGCATACGTCCAGTGTCTAGAAACTCTAATTTTAGGGCCAACCACTATATTATGGTTCCAAACCTGGCCTCCATATCTTCCATCTTACCCTCAGAAACCCTAAGTAGCCGTTCTTCTTCCATTTTTGTGGATATTTGACCTTAGGGAGCTTGGTTTGGCAAAGGAGAGACTAGGTGAAGAAAGAAGAAGTTGTCAAGGAAGGAGTTGGGTGGCTGGAGCCCGTAGATCTGGGAAGGCATCATCTTCTAGAGCCCTTTTGAGGTATAAAGTCTCTTGCTTGACATCTCTTTTGTGTAGATCTTGGTGTTATGAAGTTTTGACACCATTTCTTGTCCCAAAAACCCCAAAGTGATGCATGATGCGAGTTGGCTGAGATTAGCTGTCCTTTCAAACCTTAGGAGAGGTCTTGAATAAGAAAAATGAGGTCCCAATGGCTTTGGTTGTCTCATGAATGATGTAGGTAGCTCTTAATGGATTAATACCTTGAGTTAAGAGCTTTATGGACGTCCCAAGTAATAAAGTTTGAGACTTTATGAATCATAGGCATCTTTGGTCGATGGATCTGAAGTTTGGGCTTAAGAGCTTAAGCCATTAAGAACTTATGAGGAGTTTTAGATCAGCGTGCGTACGCCCCACGTAAGTTGATGTACGCCTAACGTAATGGGTCAATGTCCTGTTCCAGTCCGCGAGAATCGAAGTACGCCCAACGTACCAAGAGGGGTACGCCCAGCGTACTCCCTCTGTTAGGTTTTTGATTTTGGGCCTTCAGTGATTGGATTGTTTATGGGCTAATGGGGTTTGGGCCGTGACTGTATATTATGGATGAAGTAATTTAGACCCAGTATTTATTATGGACCTTGGATCTAGACCCATTTGGTGAGGTGGGCCCAACTTAGTAAATTGGGCCAATATTGGGCTTTGTTTGGACCCGTAGTATGTTGTTCTTTGTTGTATGTGTATGTTTATGTGTGTATGGGTACTTTGAGGGAACTCACTAAGCTTTCGGGCTTACAGTTGTGGTTTATTGTTTCGGGTGCTTCAGGAGATCGTGGCAAGGTGAAGGCGTGATCGTACCGCTCCTCATGTTTTATGCTTTATGTGATATGGTTATGGGGAAATACTCTGATGTTTAAACTATTTTTGAAAACAAGATGTATGAGCTTAATGGTTTTTGAATGAAATAAAATGTTTTAAATTGGTTGAAATTTTTGGTCGTTACAAGTTGGTATCAGAGCTAGTTTGAGTGAATTGGAGGAACATTCGTGTAAATCTAGTCTCAATCAAGGAGAGGTTTTCAAAAATGGTTTTCAAAATAAGAAAAGGAGGATGTAGAGGGTACGATCAGCCAGATCCAGGAAGTTACCCCAAATTACCATACATGTTATTTGTTTTGAGATATCTTAGAACAACATGTTATTACTAGGCTAAGGATCTTCAGGAATTGCATGATAGGATTGCCTGATTTATGATGCCTGTTAGCCTAGGGTTCCTTGACATGAGCTATTCGGTATTCCTCTAGGGGTGAGGATTGAGTGCTTGCTATGTATGTTTGTGCTTAGGGCGTTGTGGTGATACTTGAGACAAATATGGGTAGGTGCGAAAGGTAGTATGGGCCCGTACTACTGAAAGCACAGGACCCATACGCGTGTCAAGGAAGTCACAACCCCTAGGTTGTTGGTTAGAGGATAGTTCTTGGCGGTTATGCGAGGTATCTGAGATTCTTATGGTCCATTTCAGCACGGACGCGAGACGTTCGAATCAGGATCCGGTTCGGGATCGGGATCAGGACAGGGTAGTCAGGATGGATCAGCACCACCCGAGGTTATTGGTTAGATGAGTACAGAGGAGTTGGATGCTAGGATTCATGATATCCTACATCAACAAATCTAGCCTCAACAACTACAACTATTAAAACTTCGATTTACAAAGGTAAGTTTTTTCATATAGAATTTATATTATTGTTATTTATTATTTTCTAATTCACATAATATTTATTTTAATAGCATACACATTTATGAGTATAAAAAATAGATAAATTGTCAAATTCTTCGTCCGCTGCAAGTCAAGATTCTTCGAAATTGGTAACCGATGCTTACAAAGGTATGTTTTTTAATTCAATATTATTATATAAACATATTATTTACATAATTATACATTTCATATCCTGTCATATTATTTCTTATGCAGAAAACAACAATAACATGTACTACTTGCAAGCCATAGAGAAAAGAAGACAAATAAAAATGTATTTGGAAAATAAAAGATCGAAGAAAATGAATACAACATCCAACATTCCAAGTACATTAATACCGCATCTCTTAAAAAATATAATTAATTATAACCCTATTACTTTTTTTATTCCATGAATTACGTTATTTTACATTTATATACAATAAATGATTTCTCATATTTTTATTATTATCTTGTAATATTATATGATTGCAGGTTATAAGAATATTTTCATACAAAGTAGGGTAGGACAATTGAAATGCATTGTGTTTGTATGAATATGAATTGTATTGGTTTGTATTTAAGCTACTTCTATGTAATACATAAAGTAAATGCAAAGTATAATGTTATAATTGTCAAAGTTTATAGTAATGTTTATTAGTTTTGTGGTTGATTAAGTAATTCATTATATGTTTAATTTCTGGATTTTTTCTGTATTTTACGCCGAAAAATATGGATTTTTTTTAAAATTTTTCTACTCATTTTAGTGATGGAATTTCCGTAGGTAGAAGTTTCCGTCAGAAATTCGTCAGCAATAAAGTCAAATGACAGTCAATGGGGTGCTCGTCGGTAAGCCGTAGGAGATCCGTCGCTCTTTCAGTCCATAGGTATTCCGTAGGTAAATTACCGACGGAAAAAAGTTGTCGGTATTCCGTAGGTAATCCGTCACAAATCCGTCGGTATTATTTACCCACGGGCGTTTATGCTACGGCACGTTTTTCGTCACACTTCCGTAGGTAACGCTCTATACCTACGGAATACCTACAAATTCTGTTGTAGGTATTTTCAGATTTTCTAGTAGTGATTTTTTCAAAACCTCTCAAATTTAATATAAACGTGTGTATATAATATATATTGTATAATGAAATAAAAAATTTCAGGTCACACGTGTGCATAACAAATTTATATTTGGATCTGACCAAGTATGCAGTAGCTAATTTGAAGGGGTCTGGGTATACACGTGTATGCTTGGATCATGACATTTATTATTGTTGACTTCGCTTGTTTCATGGGGAGCCAGTGAAGCAGATTATATATAAAATGTGAGCTCTGGATCACAAATTAATAAACTTTGAACCCAACAGCAGCTAGCAACAAGATCAAAATAGAAATGAGCAAGTTAATTTTAGTTTCACTTACATTGGTTTGGTGTTTATGGGGGGTTGTTGAGGGTTTCACTTATGATGACAAAGAGGTTGAAACAGAGGAGGGAAAGTCGGCGATGTTTGAAAGGTGGAGGAGTCACCACAATATGCAGGCTATGCGCGACAAAGACAAAAAAAAAGCAGTACGAAGCGTTCAAGGCTAACCTGGAAATTGTTCACTCGACAAACAAGGCGAAGAAGTCATATAAGTTACAGATGAACAAGTTTGCCGGGATGACTAACGCCGAGTTTAAGAGCAAGCATACTGGATTGAAGGCTGCTCCGAAGATCCGGCCAGGAAAAAAGTTTGTCTCCGAGGCCGAGTGGCCTTCCAATTTCAAGTATCGTAATTTCACTGATATCCCTCCCTCTGTTGACTGGACAGCCCAAGGTGCCGTCACCCCTGTCAAGGATCAAGGACAATGTGGTAGGTGATCATACTTTTTGTTTTATATAAAAACTAAAAAGGATATTTTGTGTTTGTACGTAATATATATACTATTACACATTCATGCATGCATGCAGGAAGTTGCTTTGCGTTTGCAACAGCAGATTCAATCGAATCGTTACACTGGATCAAAACAAAGCAGCTAGTAGAATTATCACCAAAAGAAATTCTCGACTGTTCTTCTGTTAGTCCATATACTAATATAGGATGTGACGGAGGGAGAATGCACGATTCCTACCAGTACGTCATAGAAAATAAAGGTCTAACTACAGAGAAGAACTACCCGTATACGCCTGAGTTTGGGACTTGCAACGTCAAAAAGGTAGATTGAGTAATGCATGCATGCATGCACGTACGTGTATCATCATCTCATCTCAACTTTTTGAATGACTGACAGGAGAACGATATGGTGGTAGAAATTCATGGATATGAGCAGGTGCCTTTTAATCATGAGCAGTCTCTTATGGCAGCAGTTGCAAACCAGCCTATACAAGTTTCAATTGAATGTGATGAACCTTTAGTATTGTATAAAGAGGTAACTCGACTCACAAAATTACCTCAATCACATATATAGATACATAATATATAGTATTATTCATCCGTTGATCACCATAAATTAATTAAAGGTGGATTTAATTTTATTATAATTAACAGGGAATTATGAGCGCACCGTATGGAACAAACATTGGCCACGCAGTATTACTAACCGGATACGGTACGGATCCTGATGGAACCAACTACTGGATAATCAAAAACTCGTGGGGAGTAGAATGGGGCGAGAAAGGATACCTCAGAATCCCACGTGGAGTTCCTGAAAAGGAGGGGTACGCCGGGGTAAATATGACACCTCACTATCCGACCATTGAAGATCGTGGTAGTGATCATCAGGCAGGCGGCGACCCTATTGTACAGGGTAGTAAAGATCTCTAGACGAACAACAACATACTCGACCCTGATACGATTGCTCATATCTGCCACTAATAAATTTTCTTTTGATTTTGTAATATGGAATTCAACATGAAACTTCTTTGTACCCAAAAAATGTGGCCAAAGCTATACTTCCACAAAACAAGGGCACCAATCGATATTAGTTTACTTTGTTGTTAATTCATTGATCCAAAGTTATACATTTTATTTTTTTACCTGTCCAAATCTTGATAAATGGCATTTTACCTTTTTATATGAAATTAATGGTGGTGATAACAAATGACGCAACAAATGTTGTAGATCACGGTTTCTATTAACAATACTAACAATATATATATATATATATATATATATATATATATATATATATATATATATATATATATATATATATATATATATATATATATATAGGTGAGTTCAATTGAGAAAATAAAAAAAGTTGAGAATAGGAGAATCATTCTCAGCTACTCATTTAATCTAAGCATAAAAGACACGGTGACAAACTTGTAAATATCGTAATAACCTTCAATCTCAAATACATAACTATAGAGAATTCGATAAATGTTCGTTCATCATCAAAATTTTTCCTCCAACCTTCAATAATCATCCAGATTTCTTCAACTAAACCGGAATTTATTCGCTGTTCATGAAATTGGAATCGGAGTTCTGGACTCGCAGTCGCAGTCGACATTGAGGGACTTAGAATCGGTAATCACAGGTTCCTAATCGGATTTTCGGAAATCAAAATCAAATTGAGAAATCGATCAGAGATAGGATGTCGCATCTGAAGTCGAAATCGGAAGTATATGATGATTTGGAATTAATAACTTGATGTTTTTAACATTTTTAAAATAGTTAACTTGTTTGCACTCCAACTGTTTGATGAAATGCATAAACTAAATTACCACGTTATATTCACATATGAATATGTTTTCTCACCCGAATCAGTATATGATTATTAAAAACACAAAACAAATATGCAAGTCTGTATGTTATTCATATGTCAATAACATATAAAAAATTTATATATATATATATATATATATATATATATATATATATGTCAAAATACCTTCAATATTCATAAGTGAATATACCTTGTAATATTCATATGTGAATATACTGTGTAATATTCATAAGTGAATATATCATCTAATATTCACAAGTGAATATACTCTATAATATTCACATGTCATATACCATGTAATATTCACATATTAAATATCATTTAATACTCATAAGTGAATATATCATCTAATATTCACAAGTGAACATACTATGTTAATATTCACAATTGAATTCATCGTCTAATATTAAAATATGAATATACTATGTGTATTATATGCTACATTCATATATGAATGATACTTAAATTGTAAAAAAAAAAATCATACTTTTTATTCATAAGTGAATAACGAATGTACTGTAATAAAACCTGATGCATTGTTATTCATTTATGAATAACGATAGCTGAAAATATTAAAAAAAAAAAATTTATTTTATCTTAAAACTATATCAATATGGATGTCTATTTGTAGAGAATAAAAAATCATGAATTTTGGTATTTTTAAAATCATTTTTTCATAAAAATAGATTATAAAAATTAAAAAAACGAAAAAATAAAACTATGTTTTTGTATATATTAAGGTAATGATTAGCATAGTTTAAGAAAATATGTTATGTTGGAAAACACATATGCATTTGTTTTCCATTTCCGCCGGTACGTTGGAGGCTTTTGCGGCAAAAATAAATGATTGGCTGAGAATGATTCCCCCATTCTCAACCTTTTTTTTTTCTCAATTGAATCCTCCCCTATATATATATATATATATATATATATATATATATATATATATATATATATATATATATATATATATATATATATATATATATATATATATATATATATATATATATATATATAGTTAAGTTCATGTGAGACAGCCTAATTTTGTGAGACCGTGAGACGCATTATTTTATTATTTTTATTTTTTATATATTTTTTAGTTAATTCAAGTTCCGAAAATAATATTTTAAAAAAATTTGGATTTTTCTATTTATTTAGCATTTTAAAATTATTTTTTAGAATATGTACAGTGTAATATTCTATTACAATATTTCACGTATTTAAAAAAAAAACGGGATTTTTTTTTTAATTTTTTAAATTTTTTTAATTTTAATTTCTTTTAGTTAATTCAAGTTCCGAAAATAATATTTAAAAAAAGAAATTTTAGATTTTTCCATTTATTTCGCATTTTAAAATTATTTTTTAAAATATGTCATAGTAATATTCTATTAGAATATTTCACGTATTTTTTAAAAAAAACGAGATTTTTTTTTATTTTTTTTAATTTTTTTTTTGTTAATTCAAGTTCCAAAAATAATATTTAAAAAAGAATTTTTGGATTTTTCCATTTATTTTGCATTTTAAAATTATTTTTAGATTTGGTCTCACGGTCTCACAAAATTAGAATGGGTTCAAATGAACCTGAACCTATATATATATATATATATATATATATATATATATATATATATATATATATATATATATATATATATATATATATATTTGCAAAAAACGTTCGACGTTAGCTAGTCGGTGGACTGGCGTCAAGGGATTAATCGGCTAGGTGAAGATTAATCGGGGGATTAATCGGGTACCATTAATTGCTAATTTATTGAATTTTGAAAAATAAATATGACTAATATCATATCAAAGTTCGTAAATACCACTAATATGATAACAAAATAGGTTAATATGATTAATACAACACTAATCATACCTCAAATAATTTTCATTGAGATAAAAACTTCTACAAAATGTTAAAATTTCATGTTTTATAATGTTTTACTCATTATCTATGCAGGGATTAATCGCTAGGCGTCCTCTAATCGGTCGAGTAGCGCCTAGGGATTAATCGGAGATTAATTGGGACCTAGTCGGGATTTTTACAACAGTGATATATATATATATATATCCTCCTTAATCAATAAAAAACTTTTTACCACATTTCCTCTTCTCCTTCGTTTGGACACATAATATTTTCTAGATTTTTTGAATTTTTTCTAATTTTCACTTATCATTTTATTATATTTTTAATTTTATTAAATTAAAATTTCTCATTTAATATGTAAGGCAATATATATGTAATGTATTTATTAGAAAGAGTTTATATAGGTAATGTATTCAATACATTAAAGTCTCATTAATTTTAATAATTCAAAATTTTTCTCATTTTTGTATAAATTCGAACTTTTCAAATTGTTAAAATTTCATACTTATTTTTTTTTAAAACAAACTCATTTAATACATGGGTCTCACACCTAGTATATATATATATATATATATATATATATATATATATATATATATATATATATATATATATATATATACTAGAAAAGTTTGAGGTCCGTGCTAAGCACGACCCATAGAGTTCAACTATGTTGTGATCTCTGAGTGATGATAATTATTTTCTCACCAACTCTTAGTTATTAAAGTTGAAAGATTCTTAACTCATTTAATAGTATTTCATTATGTTTGGTTCCAAAAAAGAATCCCAATGTAAATACCAGATATAAGTTCTAAGACATGTACCAAACACTACCAAACAAGACCAATGAAGGCCAAATTATGTTTTTCCCAAAATAAGGTAAAATATCAAACGATGAATATAAGCTATATCTTGAGCATCATTCTTTAAGATAACAGATAATATTGATATTTACTATTTCAATTTCCATTAAGGAATGAAAACAAACAACCCTCAGATTAAGAAATGAATTTAAAAAAAAGAAAAACGACCGAATTATATTCCTTCAAGAACTGTCTAGTCCACGCCATTAGATAACACAGTCAATGTTTTTTTTTTTCAATTCAGTGGAATAGGCTATTCCATTCCTTCCCAAATTCCATCATTACCAAAACACCTACGATTAGTAATACCAAAGCTGATAGAATCTCACCTTAAGTTTGATTTTCTATCACAATTTGTGCACCCTTCTTTTTTGTTCCATAAGCAAGTGTTTTCCCCGCACCACCAGCATCAATAACCTCAAATAGTGTACCACCCAAAGGTCAAACCCTTGCATCATTTTTAACTCTTGAACCACTATGCAATTAGTAGAGTTTAAATATTTTCATTAAATAATTTGGAATTATAAAGAGTATTAGATCATGCACCAACATAGTTTGTATTACAATGATAAAAATTCTCATCACTTTGTCTTCTAACAATGCATTTCACTGCTCCTATTGGCCGAAAAAAACATACCTCATTATCAATCATTTAAAATTTTCATTGATCTCTTATTTATTTAATAGTTTCCTAATTATCTAGTAATCTTAGTCTAGTTAATTTTATTTGTTTTGTCTTATAAATAAGACAATATTTAAAGGTATATTAGAAAAGTGTCAATCTATTACTTGCAGTGTGAGGAATTACAAAGAAGTCACCATTTCTATTATATAAAGAATGATTTTCAATTGCCAATGAGACTTGTTTTTCTTTCTCATTTCTATTGTATATTAATTTATATTTTATGTACAATGAAACAGTTCTTATTTTCTCATGTTTATTCAAGATTATATTAGAAAAACACAGTGGAACTAATTTGATTGAAGTAAAACTGATTACTGTCATTTAACTTCACAAAGATCTATAAATAGGGTAAGAATTTTTTAAGCTAGTTATTTTACTGATTAACAAACTAAAGAGAATAGCAACGTACTTTAGCATGAAGCTTATGCCCAAAAAGATGAAAATTTTCTATTAAAAAAGACGTAAAGATTAAGAAAACATGATAAATGAAGAAATTATAAAGGACGGGAAAACAAACCGATGCATACTTGAAGGGACATACATTGGCTGTTTTACCAAAGGAGGACCCAAAATTAAAAACCCCAATAGAATTGAAACAAATGATCTCATTGTTCTTCTAATTCGATAACAGCTATATTAAATTGCAAAGAAAGAGAAATGACATACACATAC